ATCGATATATATATATATATATATATATGTGTGTGTGTGTGTGAATTTAGGCAGCTATCCTTCTTTCATGCACATTTCATTGAATACGACAGACAAGGTGATTTTATTTAGTTTTTTATAAAATTTCTCATGCGATCTAATATTTTTGGTTTCTTTTTCGGATGATTAATTATATAAAAACTGTCCGAATGTTCTTTTTATCCAAGCGCTTTCGGCTGTACATTTAGGCATTTTCAAGGCTTAAATATTTTAACTGTTAAATAAGAAATAGTTTGTTGTATGGATGTATTTCTAAAATGTTTTCATTTTTCAAACACGGTCAAGATATTGTGTCCATGTTCATAGTTAATATTATTAAGTATGTTTTTTTTTATTAATATTTAAAATATTTAATACTGTGCACTTTAACCCATAAATATAACATATCTTAAAACTTTATTTTATCAAAAATTGCTTCCCACATAACCCAAACCTGCTGAACAAACGAAGTGAACTAATTATTACATGCATTCATAGAAAAAAAAGCTTTCTTCTCAAATATTTTGATTCAGGTTAGCATATTAATCGAGCAATTATTCGACCTCTGACCTATCTACTTCCTCTCTACTTATATACCTGTTCTTTCGATTATCACATCTCCATATTTATAATTTTATTACCTTTTTCCTCTTCATTCTATATTAATTTTATATTAACTCCATATTAACTCCATATCCATATTAATTTTATTTTACTTTATTCTATTTTATTTCTCCCCATATTTTTATTTTAAATTACCCCCTTGGACCTTTAAATTTAACGGAACTTTATATAGTTTAGCGTTCCCACTTTAATATTTTTTTTTACCTCATATACGTCATTGTTTAACCAGGCTTTATAATTTTGTATTTATCCCCCAATATTAGATTATACTTATAATAATATTGTACGTTGATTTAATTTACAATATAACGTTACTTCTACGAGACCCGTAGTTCTTGAAAACAACTGTATCGAATAATTAAACCCATCCCTCTGGTAGCAAATATTCTCTATATTCAAATTTTTATTGTTTTTTTTTTTCATATTATTTTATGTTTTATATTTATTTCCTATTAACTCGATATTAACTTTATATTTATTCTTATTCTACATTTAATTCTGTCTATCTTTCCTCTTCTTTCTCTTTTCTTTTTTCTCCCCCTTTCCTTAATTCTTCTTCTTCTTTCCGATCCTCATATGCGTAAATTGCCTCTCTTGAACTGCTTGATTATTTATATTTAAATTTATCGGATTTTTCTTTTACTTTTATTTTATTTTACGTTATTTCCTCATTCACACACTATTATTTTTTTGCATTTATACCCCAATATTAAATTATATTATAATTTTAAACGTTGAATCAATATACAATATAGCGTTGTTCTCATGAGTCCCAGAAGTTTTGAAAACAACCGAATTGAAAAGTTCATATCCATTAGTACATGATGATTGTACACACATGAGACGCTGAGTCGTACAACTGACGTAGGTAATATATATATATATATATATATATATATATATATATAATATTTATTCGAAAATTATAACATAAATGTTATAAAATCACTACAAAAATAGGCATTTTGTTTCAACACTTCTGATGTCTTATCAAGTGATGGTGTTGAATGTCGAATATTCTACATCCAACACATCATCTTGATAAGACACCAAGTGTTGAGGAAACTATTTTTGTAGTGATTTTATAACATATTTATATCATAATTTTCAAATAAATAATTATATTTGCTCTACTCTGTATTGAGTACTCTTTTAAGAAATTTATTTATTGGTTATTGGAATTTATTCCGTATACACCAATACTATACTTGGTATATATATATATATGGCCAGCAATTTTTCATTTATAGAAGTTCTTTGTTAAGGATTTTTTCCAGTTGAAATTAAACTTTACACGGAAAACAAGAAAAAATGACCCAAATTATCAGATTTTATCTGTTATTCTCAATGTAATTTTGTTTTGTGCTATGTTAGTTTTTGTATTGTCTTTTTTGTTTGTTTTATTTTTTTCAGTTATGAAATATATTTAATATCTTTGTTCGTGAAATGGATGTATTGTATTATTTAATGCTTCTAATATTTGTAATCCTTTTTATAGTTTATGTGATACTTTTTGTTACTGATAGGTATTTATCGGTTTTCTTGCTGCGTTTGGTTGTTTTCTTGATTGGTGACATACTATTTAATTGAACTATTATGGAATACACGTCATGTTAATTGGTTCGAAACGAAAAAACAACAACAAAATAACAAAAAGAAAAAGAAAACAGAAAAATCCTTAACAAAGAACTTTCTTCCCTCTCTACCCAAACGTATTCAATTCTGCATTTCGTCTATTACATTTGGTACTGGAATGAGAAAACAATCCTCGTGTGAGAAAGGGGGTTTGGTTTATTGTGATCAGGTAATAAAGAGTTTTATCTGATGTAACCTGGGAGTTAGTTGGTGGTCTTTGTACTGAAGCCACCAATGTCTACTAGATTTTAAATTTAGTCCACTCAGAGTAGATCTTTATATACCGCTTGTGCAACTAATACTTTTTGCGATAAGTGTTATTGTATGAGTCTGGTGTAAGGCTGACCAGATGAAATTGAGAAATCAATATAATTTCATCTTTGTTTATTCTATTCTATTCTCTTTTAATCAAATTGGTAATTGAAATAATTCGAAATTCCAGTCAGATATATTATGGTGAACCAGACTTCTTCTGTGTCTCGTGTCTCTTCAGAATGTTGGCAACCATGACACTTCACAATTTCTTATACTTTGTAGCTTTTAATAACTTTTGTCTTTTTGCTATCTTTCCCAAACCCAGTTTGCCATCCATTCACGCATGCTCACCAAGTAGGTCATGCGCTGCTGTTCCCTGTCTCTCTTACCTTCAATCTGTCCTGTGCGTACCATATTTTCCAAAGCCTCTTTCCTCGTTATGAGCCACAGAAATTTTAACTATCCTTTCTTGGTGTTAAGCAGAAGTGTTCTTTTTGTTGCCATTGACTCAATAACTTTATCGTTGCTTCCATGTTTGGTCTTTGGTATTCTCACCCTCTTTCGGTAAACTACGAGTGCGTTTAAAATGTTCTGCAATAGGTACATTCAGTACATATATCGTTTTTTTTTTTAGTTGTTTTGCCGATTTATGTCACTGGGAATTTTGTGCAATTTTTTTTACTAGAATCTTTTGGCAACATGCTGATGCGTGTTAAAATCCTTACAGCATTTAGTATTGTTGAAGTTATCATTTCCTCTGCCCATTTGAAACTCTCCCTACTGAGTTTATATTTACAATTCTACGACTGTGAAATATATTTTACCAGAAAGATATATATATATCTATATCTATATATATCTATATATATATTTAGTTTATGAAAAACTAGGTAATCCGTATGGGTAAACCTAAGGAGGATAAAATCCAGAGAGCTCAATATAAATTCAGAGCAAATAATTTAAATAAAAACAGACCACTTTAAGGTTCCATGTAATAAATTATTTCACCACAGCCCTTTTAAAAGGACTGCGGATCATCACTTTACTTCCAAACAAAAAATGAAAAGAAAATTTACACATTTATGACGGGCCGTATTAAACATATGTAAATTAATGAAGTCTTCTTTAATTCCAATAACCAACTATTACTATTCTTAAAAGAGTACTCAATACAGAGTAGAGCGAATATAATTATTTATTCGAAAATTATAACATGAATATGTCAAAAAATCACTACAAAAATAGCCATTTTGTTTCAACACCTCTGGTGTCTTGTCAAGTGTTATGATGTTGATTTGGGGTTAGTAGAGACAAACGCCAAATAACACGTAACAATAAAAAGGGTTTTAATAGGTTGGTAAAAAGGTACAGAAATCGCTTGAGTAGTCAATAACTAGCTCAGCTAAGAACTTCTCGGTCTATCTATCTTCCGTCATGTCAACTGAAATGCCACTATTTAAAGTCTTTGTTCACAGACAAGTTCATCTTCAAGAGGGGTGGTAGGTTTCCGACACAACATCAAGTGATGATGTTGAATGTAGAATAAAGGGTTTTAAAAGGTTCAAATCACTTAACAACCCTTCGCAGGGGGAAACGCTGTTACATAAGCTGGAATGACCAATCAAAATACAAGGGGTAGTTAATTAATTTGAACCTTTTAATACCCTTTATTCTACATTCAACATCATCACTTGATAAGACACCAGAGATGTTGAAACAATATGGCTATTTTTGTAGTGATTTTATAACATATTTATGTTATAATTTTCGAATAAATAAATATATATATATATATATATATATATATATATATATATATATATATATATATATAAACTTAAAAAGAAAAGATATGCGAAAAATAATATTGCATTTTTATTAAATGAGTATTTGTTTTTAATCATTAAATTGTTTTTAAAATAATGGGAGTATTTTGCAAATTAAATAATAACATTCATAATTTTCCACCCCTCAAAAATTAATGAAAATTTATTGTACGCACCCTCCTAAAATCAATTGCACTTTGTACTTCTTACCTGTCTGCACGTCTCCCCAAAATATGGTAGATGATGTAACAAACGGACGGATTAACGGAAGTCACAGAATTTTATATATAGATATATCCCTGCCAAATAGTTTTATTGCGGTTTCTATTCAGAGGGAAACATCGAGTAACCTACCTAACTAGCTTGTGTAAATAGATCGATTCGTTGGTTTATTAACCGTGTGCAGGTTATTTAAAGCCAGAAAATATTTTTAGATTGTAAGAATAGTTTTTGAGATAAAAATGGTTTAGTGAAGCAAGTCTTACTATTTAATCCAGAGCTGGTGGGGAAATAGGTAAATTCATACCTTTCCCAGGTGAATATAACGAAACCAAATGGAATTGTAAGTTAGATCTATGATTTCACCTAGTTAGATCTATGATTTCTCCAGCTTTCACCTATTACACCACCCGCACATCCAAGCTTACAACACCTGGTATACCCAAACAGTCACCCATGTAGGCACTGAACCCGGCACGACATTGCTTAACTTCGGTGATCGGACGGGAGTCGATGTTTCGACGTGATGTAGAGGCAAGCTGTGTAAATAGATGGAAGAACAGGGAATGGTGGGATAGTAAAAATGACAAATATTGCTAAGAACTATAAAGAATATGAAGTAGTGGAGAGCCACGATCATCCACGTCCTGACGGGACACGGCACACAGAAGAAATAGTAAGATTCTAGAGAATCAACATTCCAAATTCTAGGTTCGAACAAGGATCTCTTGCGCCGGTGTGACATAAAGACTTGTCCGAGTCAGGAGGCAGGTCACTTGCGTGCAGTTTGCTATGTTTTTTGTTTCTAAATACTAGTCTGGCACAAGGTCATATTTATGGAATAGGCTTTGTAGGTTGAAATTATGCTGTGGTGTGGTGTAATTGATAATATCTCGGCATGAGAATTCGGACAACCGAGTTCGAGTTCGCATTCCAGTCGGGTTCATTATATTCATTTAATACCTTTGCGAAAGACATTAATCTCGCTATGGGGTAGAGACTGGGCCCTATAGACTTGTTTGGCCACCAGTCTACTGCGGGAATATCTGCCTAGTCAGTCATTAAGCGAAAGAGACTTGATAACTGAAGCGTGTATCTCATAGGGCACTTAACTGACTGAGATTGCAAGGCCAACATGCCTTCAGGCTTCCACTGACACATTCACTGATGACAGTCGAGGATAGCAGAAAAGTTGTCAGAGGTGTATACCGTATTAAAAACTTACACATTCACTTTTTATAAATATCTTAGATATAGACATTTCCTCAGCTTTAGCCTGGCAGAAGGTCACAAATATAGGTTACAAAGTGAGAATCATACGCACTACAATTTCATCACTGGGGGATTTATAATTGTAAACCTTGGCTTGACCAAACACTTCTTATGGAATACATATAGATAATTTGATTTAAGAGATTGGCCTTCCCACTTGATGCAAGAAGTGCTGTAAAGTTCTCAGTCCAACCAAAAACCCATTCAAAAAAAAAGGAAAAAAAATTATTGTAATTTTGTCAAATTTGGGGAAATCAGTATGATGAACTTTTCAGCAAGCATTCATATGGAAATTACTTTAAGAAATATGTAATGTCAAAAAGATTAAATCAACTTTTGTCTTTTTGTGGAAAGATATCCAGTTCTTAGGAAATGAGATTTAATAATTTTTTTAATCATTTCACCCCAAGCAAGGCGGTAATGCCACTAGTACACAAAGGGTTACAGGGAGTGAAGTGAAAGAGAAGACTGAGAATGGGGAGGATTGAGGGAAGGACAAAAGATGAATGGGGTTAAAAAAGATGGCGACTGACATTGCATTTACATTTTTGAAGATTGTAGTTATCGAAATGCAAGTAAACTGAAGGGAATTCCACAGGCGAGCAGTGCGAGAAGAGAAACCGTTGGAAGAGAAGTGGCATTTAACTATTTCAACAGTAAAAAGCTTTGGTTTGGTTTGGTTTTTGTTTTACGGTATATCAACCTCAATAGGTTATTCAATGCCAACAATTTTTTTTATTGCTGGTAATATGTTTTTCTTCAAAAATCTGTTTCTGGGAATATTTTTCCTTGAAGAAATCTATAGCTGGTCTTATTTTTTCAAAGAATGCATAACTGATTTTATTGCTGGTATTTTTTTTTTAAGTATTGCTGATAATAATTTTCCCTTCAAAAATTATCGTTGGTAATAATTTTTTTTATTACAAAGTATTTGTGGTATTAAAACCTTTTTTTACACAAGTTTGGGTGTTAACTATTTGCCCATAGCTGGGATCCTAACAGGTGCTACCACCCAGGTCAGGGTGGACCTGGGAAAACCATCAGTTAAGAGGTGGTTCCACTCTCCTCAAAACCTCCTGATCAGAGGCCTTGCTGTTGGACGTAGTTTATCGTCTTACCCAGGACGCCAGTAAAAAGGTGGGACATAGATGCCAAGCTAGTAGTACGCTTAAATTCATGTAGTTAGTTTTATAATTTAATTGTTTAAAGGATGTATTGTATTGTTTAATGCTTCTAATATTTGTAATCCTTTTTATAGTTTATGTGATACTTTTTGTTACTGATAGGTATTTATCGGTTTTCTTGCTGCGTTTGGTTTCAATTTTTTTTGTCTAAAACTTATCTTTTTTTGTGTTAAATATTTTATTGGTGCGTATACCACTGGCCGTTTTTCGTCATCATTTACTAAGAGGATATGGAGCACACAGTGAGGATGGAACTCACTACAGAGTAGCAAGGTTCAACACGTTAACCGTAATCCTATACTGAGACGCCAACAGATCATTTTCAGTCATTTGACACGCAAACACATTTGGCACGGCAATCGAGCATTGAAATGCCGGGCGCCCACAAAATAAATATAGTTTATTTGATTTGTCATTTTCGTGACCTTATTGAATAAGGATTTAACGGGAAATCATAAAAAAAGATTTTCTCCCGCTAATGTTTCTCATAATTAAAATTAAAAAAAATACGAACCTGCTTCCTCTTGACAGATTCTAATGAAAAGAAAAACTTTGAGTAGCCAAATGGTTACAACTACGAACTTGGTGTGCAGCGACTTATCCAAAAGAACTCGACTGATAATTTCGCAAGCCTATCCCCACACTATCGATGTTTCCATCAGAAACGTTCAGATGAGCTCCATCATTTAATTCGATTAACTTCAGACATTTACAGCTAGAACATGTTATATCCACAGACTCGAATCACTAGCATTACTCCTATATTCCAAATTTAGGAGAAAGTTACACCCAGACAGCTTTTTTTTCCCCCAAGACCTTACTAAAAGGTAGATCGCCGAAGTTCTTTTTTAGCAAGCAGTCATCGAAAAACCTGGAGATCAATGCCGGCGTTCAATAGATTTCTCCCGTCAGCCCTATTTACTTTCTACTGCATATTAATGATATAAGAGCATACTCTGATTATTAATGAGTACCTATGCCGGTGATAAAAGACCATAATCTAGGAGCTCATCTGTCCTCTGATCTTGCCCATGTGGCTCAACAGGGAAAGGACTAGCTTATAAAATTTAATACGAAAAAAACAAAAAATAACTAATAACGTCCCAGCACCACCAAGCAGACCCCAAGCTTTCACCTATCATGATGAATTAGACTTCTCTTGAACGTCTGTTTGGATTCAAGCTCTCCTCATATCTCAAGTGGAACTCATATATCCGATGTATTGCTGAAGATGATGGGAAAATGATTGGTTCATTGCACCATTTCAGTAAATCAAGCATTCGCCTTTGCATGGAGTATTGCTGCCATATATGGTCTGGGGCCCCTTCTCTTTACCTCGGAGTTCTTGACAAGATCCAGAGGCGGATATGTAATATAATTGGTTCTGATCTGGCATCTCGTCTACAGTCACTCTCTCACAGACGCGCCGTCGCCTCTCTCTGTCTTTTCTACAAATACTTTCATGGTAATTGCTCCGATGAGCTGCTTTCACTGGTTCCCAGACTCCATGAATTCAAGCGCCCTACGAGGCTGGCATCCCGCTCTCACCCTTTCATTGTAGAAACTTTTAAATGTAGCCGTCTCTTCTACTCCAATAGCTTCATACCTCGCACCACTCGCCTGTGGAACACCCTTCCCTATTACTGTTTCCATGAGAGCTATAATCTCCAACTATTCAAATCTAATGTCAATCGACATCTCCAGTTACCTTGATCTATCCACTATCCTTCTCCTCATCCTTTCTTCTATCACTCCTATCTGCTCTCGCTCCAAATCTTCTGCAACCCCCTGCATCCTAGTGGCTTCTCGCCTTGCTCGGGGCGTAATGCTTAAAAAAAAAAAGAAAAAAGAAAAAATGTATCTGACTCTTCTTATAAGGACCAGATCAGACCATAAATGAGGTATTGTTCTTATAATTGAGATGGAGCTGTTCAGTCATCACTTGCTTGTTTTGAGTTTAAAAACATAGACGCGGCCTTGTGGGTGATGAATTATTTCCACCCTATAACCACTTTCCTACAGACGAAATGCTGCAAGTCTCTCACTGCTCTATCACTACTTCTATGGCATGTTTTCTGACGAGCTAGATTCCTTACTCCCACAACCCTTAACGTTTACAATTGGGACCCACCATGCCGCCTACACGAGAGTGAATCATCCCCATTCCCCCCGTATATCTATAGTAAGAAATAAGTTCTATTCGGACGCCTTCTTCCTCAAAACGACTGCTTTGTGAAACAGACTCCCGGCAGGATGTTTTCCTAGTCGCTACAATTTGGGCTTATTCAAGTCTGGCGTTAGACGTTTGCTTTCTTACATAACTCCATGAAATTTTTGCCATATTTTACGCTCATACAACAACGTACAATAAACCTCTTCCTTGAGTGGCTCTTTGACCTTATATTGTGCAAACATTAATATAAAAAAGAACTGTTATTTTATAGAATAGACTCCGGCATGTATGATTCCTTGAAAACTAGAATCTGAACCTTTTACAGTCAAGTGCCAATTGTTTTCTATGCTTATCTTTATAGTGATTTTACCAGTAACGCTCTACCCTGAGTCGTTCTCGAGCCTTGTATTGGTGAAATTTAGTATAAAAAATAACCAGCTCGTGAAGATATTCAATACGTCTCAAATCGAAATTTCAGCTCATTCAAAACAAATGAAGAGACAAAGCGTCTGCTAAAATACAGCGGTTACTGGTCCTCACTGGAATTTCTTCAGATGAGGCCTTGTGAGAAATGTCTGTCTTCTTTCGCCGTTAACCCTGGTAGGTGTCGTTGGGTCGCCGACGTACTGAGCTGTCCACTGTCCTCCTCCATCTGTCGCTGACGTGTGCCAGAACCTGGATCTCGGCGAATGGTTTCTTCGTGTGCTCATCATGCGGTGCGTCTTGGGCATTTTACCCCCGGCGGGGCCCATCTATCTCCAGATTAGACCACAGCGGATATGCTCTAACTTCGCGAGTCACCTTGGTCGTGAACACGTGGCCGTTGTATTTTAATCTGAAGAGACCTTCCGCCCTGGCCAGTGATCTGCATCGAAGAGGTCATTCGCCCAGTGTT